GTGTGTGTGTGTGTGTGTGTGTGTGTGTGTGTGTGTGTGTGTGTGTGTGTGTTTGCTTCAGGAAAGGCCACCTTGCCAGAACAACTCCGCCTGGTAAGTTCCCAGATAAATTAATAGCATCTGAGAAATTATGCAAAATACACCAGCATTATTTAACTTCATCAGCATCCGAATAAAGCCTGACATGAGTGTTTTAGGTATAGATGAGCACTTTCACGGCATTATTTTATTTGTAAAGTCCTAAACTGAGGTTCTGGAGGAACAGAGTGTTTTGCTCCTTCTTAAAACACACGAGTGGAATCAGGAATGCAGCATATTGTTTTGGTTAAAGCTGTTTCTAACGTGTTCTTGTTTTGTCCCAGTTTGGTTGTGGATACTGGTGTCAGGGGATCGCTAGACACGCTGGACAATGCAGTGTAAGTTATCTGTTGTAAATTGTTTATAGTTGGTGGAAAAATATAAGAAATATGCTGGAAGGAAAGATACAAGATGTGACAAAGAAAATGTCTCTTCTTAAAAATATGATTGGTTTTTGAGCAACTTCTTGTTGACATTTTCTGGCCATTTTTAGATCATTTTTAGGCTTTGTAGGCTTCCAGTCTGTACTTCATATTTTGGGATTCAAGCTTGTTTCATGTCCGTCCATCCTTTGACTTTGACTTTCTATCTTTTATTTTTCGTGAAGGAGGAGAACAAAGAGGCTCAACTGTTTGACTCTGCTGTTCAATGACCTGAGTCTGGAGAGAGAGGTAGCTTCATTCTTATGTCTAATTTCAGAAGACGTAAATCCGGTCATGTGTGCATGAAAGAGCAGAAACAAGCAGGATGCACAGTATCTCTGTGTGTGTTTGCAAAACAATTATTTCCATTTGTTTGATAACCGTTTGTCTTGCAGTTCAGCCTCTCAGAGGTAAAGGATCTGCACCATTCAGTGAGCTGCATAGCTTTCATCTTCGTTACTATTTTCACCGTCCAGATGCTCGTCTCTAAAAAGTGAGTAGATTTTCACTTGACTATACTCATTATGTTCTGAAGTATTATTGTCACTAACTCACATGCGTGCGTCTTTATTTGCTCACACTGGAATGAGGGCTAAAGATAAATGATCTGTTCTCACCCCTCCCAGTAATTTTGAGATGGCAGTGTCGTACGGCGTGACTTTCCCGGTGCTGGTGCTGCTCATGTCCATCGCTTTCACCGGATACTTGGAGGTAAACGAACACGTACTGTGGTATGTTTGTGATACCACTCAGCAGTATTGGTGTAGTATTGATAAGTATTACAGTTTCATATCATCAGGTGATTTTTATACTGAAAGTTTTTAGATTGTTTACTATCTTCCTGGCATTCAGCATTTATGTTTGAACAGTTTTTGCTGCATTTCTGTGTTAAATGCTTGAATGTTTGTTTGTTTTCAGAAGTGGCGATCCAAGATGCCGCTGAGTGTTCAGTGGATATCGGGGCTGTCCCGCGGCGTCTCCTCCAGGGCGGCGCTGCGACTGTTTGTGGTCATCCTCTGTGTGCTCATCACTCTGCTTATGGCCATCCTCAACCATGTGAGCTTCTCCTCTGCCTCCCATCATAGCTTTCTATTTGTAGTTCCTGTCTTTCATAGATGTATTTGTTGTTCTATCAATGTTGTTTTTGTCTCTCAGTTCTTCCTCCCCGGAAACGACTGCAAGATGCTTACCAACAGCACAGATCTAGCGTCTCTCAAACTCCACACTGGGCCTGTAAGTACCTCCAAATTATCATTTCACTTTGTTACTTATCCATGTTTCATGTCTTTACATGTCTTATAAATGTCTAAAGTGATTAGAGACGCACAGATTGCAGTCTTTTTCTGAACTTTTACAATAAACCCGACCAACTCTTTTAAAGAGCTGAATGTTACACAGCACTTGTTAAAAAGATTTACTCATTCAGTTCATTTCATTTTTCACACGCACAAGACTGAAGAAGCAAAACAAAAGAGACACACGTGCAGAAGATCCTCAAAACAAAGGAAGAAAAAGTGTGAAATGTATTCCTTCATCATACTCTCATACAAGCTGCATTTCATTGTCAAAACGTGCATCATTCTTTGGGTAACATAGTTTCCAGGTCAGCCATCTCGTGTTTCTTTTTTACTGTTAAAGGGCAATACAACATTTTCATTTATTCTTTCTTCACTTATAAAGGAGAACTGTATTCTAAGGTTTTCCTCTATAATAAGGTCGTTTATAACCCCAAGACAGGCTCCTCATTGATTCTTTATTAGTTTGGATGTTGACGGCTTCAGTACGAGCTTTTTTAACATCACCCCAAACTGGTCATAACACACATTCTTTGTGCAAACATCCAGTACTACCTGTACTGCTGCCTGCTGGCCATGCTGGGGGTGATCGTGTTCGTCAGGACGTGTTTATCTGCGAAGGCTCTGCTGCTCACGCTGGCTGTGGTGGTTTACCTCGCCCTCTTCCTCCATGTTCTCGCCCCGAGGTCCGACTGCCTCGTCAACCTGCTTTACAACAAAACCAAGTGAGTGCCACGCCGAGAAGTGTGTCCACAGAGAAAAATGTGAAGAGTGAAACAGCAATGAGCATTTTTCTAGTGGTGAAACTCACTTTCTTGCCTCTTAGTTCCATTTCGGGCAATAAAAGTAAGTAAGCAAAGTGTGGAATTATACTTAACAGCTTTGAGTACTATTATTCAGTTCACTGGGAAAAAAAAGTACAGTATGTAATATTCTGTCTATGTTACATTAAGTTAATAAAACAAATGAGATGCACGAAAGTGTGCAGGCACATAAGTACTCCAGCTCGCCCGCTGTCCACACAGGCTCTCAGTAATCCTGCTGAAGTTCACTTTCCACTCGTCCACCTTCATTCACTGCGATCTATAGTCATCACACCGTCTGCGTTGCTCAGCCAAGGTGTTAAATTTCCTGCCTTTTGTCTGGCACCCGAAGTCCAGATTGTGAATCCTTGAGTCTGGAGTTTCAGATCATTTATTCAAGAGCTTTTTGTAGCAAGAGGCCTGCGTGTGGGGGGGGGTTCAGGCCCCACTGACTGAGAGACACAAGACACTCTTGATTATGTAACGGAAGGGGGAAAAAAGAGAGACAGTAGTTTAGTAGTCCTTTAAATATGTGAATGTGTTTTTCTACAGGCCAGGCATACTGAAGGACCCTCAGATCATGTCCGGTGTCTGGCTCGTCATCTTTTACATCGTATGCCTCATACTGGCCAGACAGGTATGTGTGCGTTTACAAATGACAATACAGTACATATTTTCCTTATATCCAAATTTGTTCATACGTTTGTGTACGCTGTCTCTCTCTCTCCATCAGGACGAGCTTGGTTGCCGTGTAGACTTCCTGTTGGGCCGCTGTTTCAAGACGGAGAGAGAGGAGATGGAGACCATGGAGAACGTCAACATGCTCCTCCTCCAGAACGTCCTGCCGCTGCACGTCGCCGACTTCTTCGTGGGCAAAACTATTCGCAACCAGGTAAAGCAAACAAAACACGGCAATAAGAAGTACAGTAGACTATTCATTGAGCATTATTCTGTCGATGTTACTCCCTGGTTAGCCCGCCAGTTTGACAGTTTGATTTAAACAATTAAACATCAATGAATCAAGGATGGAGCTAACTAGTTCCTACATAAAAAAAAAGGTGTGTGTGGCATGTTTTACAAAAAGCATGACTTTGACCGACGTTGCTCTCCATCAAGTATGCAAAAGCCTCCTCCCATTTGGTAAAATAATACATTCGACACTTATAAAATGATTGCTGTCACTTAGAGGTGAGTTTCAGGTCATTAAAACATTTAGGACATTCATGGGATGAACAGGTTTGACTGCATGTTGTCTTGAATTGAAGTCCTTTGTTTTGTTATAACTGTGTTTCAGGACCTTTACAGTCAGTCATATGACTGTGTGTGTGTCATGTTCGCCTCGGTGCCTCAGTTTAAAGAGTTTTACAGCGAGAGCAGCGCCAACAGAGACGGCCTGGAGTGTTTGCGCTTCCTCAATGAGATCATATCAGACTTCGATGAGGTATGAGGAAGAAGATGTAATTTACACACTGTCAGTGTCATGTTTGGTGTCTCTAGCTCATGTCTCCTTTCTCTCATGTAGATTCTCTCTAAGCCCAAATTCTGTTCAGTGGAGAAGATTAAGACCATCGGCAGTACGTACATGGCTGCTGCGGGGCTGAGACACGCGCCTCAAGGGGAGGAACAAAAGGTTTGCTTAGTTTGTTCATATTTTTAATAACCTTTGTTCTCATTTTACAGGACAGTCCTTGCAATGTGCTGTGCAAAGTGTTTCCGTCTATTTTTAAAAGACATTTCCTAAATGTTTTAAAACCAAATGCTTGTCTTGAGGCACCCTGACCTGCATTCACACGATCTCTGGCTCCCCCTACAGAAAGTGGATATGTCCTACACCCATGTGCGCTCCATGGTGGAGTTCGCCATCGCTCTGATGGGCAAACTGGACCGTATCAACGCTCACTCTTTCAACAGCTTCAAGCTCCGGATCGGTGAGTCTTCTTAATACTGACAAACCCTGAATAATTCCTACACTGGATCCATTCGATACTGACTCAAAACTTCCAACTGAGCTTTCTTTCTCCTTGTTTTCCTCATCGAATTTGTAAAACATGTTAAAACTATGGTCAAATTTGAGATGAAAGAAAGAAAGTTGAAAATAAATCACTTTAACATTTCTATCTAATATTTTCTGGTCCATGCTGGACTCTAAGTAAACCTCCGAGGAGAGAATTAAAAAAAAAAGAAAGCCACTTTCTATATTCATGAACATCTAATCATCCGTCCCTGTCGTTTACCTGCAGGTATAAACCACGGTCCAGTGATCGCAGGAGTGATCGGAGCCCATAAGCCTCAGTATGACATCTGGGGGAACTCCGTTAATGTGGCCAGCAGGATGGATAGCACGGGAGTGTTGGACACGATACAGGTCGGTAGGAAGGATACAGAGGTGGCTTATGTGTTTAAATTACTGTGGTGGATCAGTGGATGCTAAGGAATTAAATGCTACATGTCATGTGTGTTCATTAGCTGTGGATGGATTAAAGGGGACAGAAAAACCTCACAGATTCTTCTTCTTCTTTTATTTCCTCTCTCAGGTGACGGAGGAGACGGCCCAGATGGTGGAGAGCATTGGATACAGCGTCACTCTCCGAGGAGTCGTCAACGTCAAGGGCAAAGGGGAACTCACCACCTACTTTGTTAACCGGGAGCACTCGTATCCTCACTTCTAAACCTCCACAGTCGCACGTTGAATAGACTCATCACCTGTTATGAAAGAACCTGGTGCACCAGATAAGAGGGTCTGACCTGATACCTGTCATCATCACCGACATCTGCACTGAATTAAAGCTGAAACGAAGATGTAGCAATACAGAGCATCGCCTGTTGATTGTTTACATCTGCGAAGGAGCTGCCTTTGTCTTTCGGATGAGACACTAAATAACATCCTGTGGGGTTAAATAAGGACTACAACTGGCAACTGAAAGCAAAGAGCTTTCTATTTAAAGGATGGCAAACCATGTTGCTTACTGCATCTGTACTGTCTCTGGGTTATCCCCCATCACACACCTTTCACTGTATTATTCTGAGAACATAAAGTCTGAAATGATGCTATGGTACATCTAACATGGCTGAATCAGTGTGATTGATTTATCGGAACTGAAATAAGCTATCCATCTTAGATGTACCAAAGATTACAGTTGTTTTATGAAGGATATTATAGAGGTAGTTTATGCCTCACATATGCAAGATAGCATTTTATTAACAATTACTCCACTCCACAGTGGTTTTACAAAGTTGCAAAACAGCATTTACGATTAAATTGTTGTTTTTTTCTCAGTTTTAAATATTTCTTCTCAGAGTATGCTGGTACAGAATGGTCTGTGTCTTTAAATGTAGGAAATGTGTGTACTTGAAGCAGCTCTATGACAGCACTGGTTCCAGGGGTGACAAGATAATATCAGGGGTCACAAAATGATTCATAGGAAAGAAGAACAACACTAGATTTGTACCGTCTAAAGACGTGTTGTTTTTCTCTAATCTATGCGTTTAGTGTTAAATCCTGGGCAGTTCTACCAACTAAGCCCAATGAATAATATTCAAACTCACTCACAGTTTAAAGTTGTCACACCATCCATAAACATGTACAAGTACACTTGTACATGGTCAGTGGTCTGATCTGTAGATTTCACTACTGCCCCAAACTGACACTTGATGCTGTAACACATTTGCACACAGGCACAATGATGTGTTTTTCCATTAAAAGTCAGTTATGCACATTTAACATTGCACTTTCTAATATGTTGTTTTTTAAGGGAGTTATGCATTACAATCCAAATGTCGATTGCACACAAAACAGTTCTCCTTTTCTTTTAAGCAATGCAATATATTTCTGTGAGGGATGATGTGTGAAGTGTGAATGTAATTATAGAGTATGTTCAGTACAGGGAAATATTTTTCTATTCTATTTATAAACTAATAAAAAAAAATACAACCACTGATGTTTTTTGTGTACTTTTATACAAGCCACGCTGTGTACCAAATTCTTAACATGCATATAAAGTGTTTACTTTGCGTATCTATCAAGAACAGTGGAATTTCCCCCCAGTCTTTGTAACGCCCACACGCGCTCTGATTGGCTGAAACCTCTCCCCCGCGGAACTTTTCCTCACTTGCTATTGGCTCCCGCTGGTGTCGGTCACGCGGCTTCCTGCTTCACGGTGCGGTTTGTTATTGAAGCGTAGCTCCTTTAAATGAGAGGGGAAATGTTGACACGGCCGGGGAGTTGATGAAGTTGGTGAGTGTTTGATGAACGCCTACAGTTTTAAGTCAACTACGACACGGAATGTAGCTTTATCTGTTTTAACGTTTTTACACAAGTGGACTTGTCTGTGAACATGAATGTAGAAAGTTTTAATGTGAACGTTAGTTCGCTAACTGCCGTTAACGATACCTGTCGTTACCGTCACTAGGTGGACGCTGCGGCCCTTATGGCACTTTTTTTTATTTTAAATAATTATTTTTCTTAATTTTTACAGGACAAATAAGGATTTTAATTCCTCTGTGAGCTACATAGAAAAGACACGCATAAAGAAATGTCAGCGGCTCATGAGCAGATCAGGAAGCGCCGCCCACCCAAAATGTTTTTGATCTCGACCGACATGAAGGTCCAGGACCAGCTGGAAGGTACCATTGTGCTGAAGCGGGGGTTCATCTGCCAGGAGCAAGATTCTGGCAAGAACAGAGGCGACTCTCCGTGGGTCAAGGTACACATTAACTTATATTAGATGTAATGCATCAGGTGAATTAATTAGCAATTATTTAAATATTAATAAATAGTTATATTATTATATACATTTTTTATATTATATATTTTTTATTTAATATTTTTTTTTATATATTTATTTATTTATATATATTATTATTTTCACTTCTGACACTTTGTAGACAAACCAAGTAATTTATTTATTTAGATTTTAATGTGTAGATAAATTAATACTGAACATAATAATGACTTATACATATAACATATAATAAGATTCTCCTTTCTACTTGCCGTTCTCTCCACACCTCCTGTCTTCCCCTGCAGGTGATAGACAACGACTTAATGTTGAAAATAGAGAGGAAGTACCTGCTGGAAGTCCCGACTGACCTCACCGGCCTGTTGGAGCCTGTATTTGACCTGGAGGCTCGCCTAAAACTTCTAAGTAATACATTAATAGTTAGGTGGTAGTGGTGTCGCAGTACTGTGCTTCCTTGTATTAGTGTAATGAACATGTAATCGGTTTGCTTCCTCCCTCTGTAGTGAGGTTTTCATTGTTGTTGTGTTTTTCTCAGACAATCCCGGGAAGCTGCAGCATTTGGCCACGCTGCCCGTCGACTCTCCGCTGTGGGTCCAAATAGGCTCGCAGGACAAGCTGGCAGAGGCGGATCTTAAATACATCGGGCCGCTGACCAGGGGCGGCAGCGCGGTGATTTTTGGGGTACAGCTCAAGGTAAAAGTGAACGGAGAACCTAAAAACCGAGTAAACCCTTGATGAATTTAAGTAAATGGAGGCCGGGTTTAACAAACAGCAACACTCACAAACTCTCACACAACTCATCCAGTCCATGCGTGAGACAATAGTGGAGGATTCATCAAGGATTTACTCTATTGTTGTCCGTTTTCTGTATTTAAATTGTCACATAAATGGTCTGTGATTGGTCAGGGAGTTCACCTGTAACTACCTTGCTCCGCCTCCCCTGCAGGGTTCAGCAGTAGGTAAAGGAATAAGCAGCGGCTCCTATAAAGGCCACCGGCTCTTCACCTGCCCCGAGGCCTGCGCCCTCTTCCTGCCGGTCAGCCGCATCCAGCTCCGCCACTGGTCTCGAGACCACCAACTCCACCAGCAACATCACCACCGCAGCAGCAGCGGTGCCAATCATAACCCGCCCAGCAACGGGCAGCAGCACAGTCGTCACATTAGCTTCCACTCTCATCGTCCCAGCAGCCCTCCTCAGCTGCAGTCTCTGGGCATCCTCTCTCGAACGGCGGACTCGGCGCCCCTCGCCGCTCAAAACCAGGTTCAGGTCCGAGGTCCTGCATCGCCTCCGCAGCTCCACGTAGGCCAGCGGGTGTGCTTCCCTCTGGAGAACTCAGTCTATGGAGGGGAGGTGCGCTTCTGTGGCCTCCTGCCTGGCCGGTCCTCCTCGGGGACGTACGTCGGAGTCCTGCTGGTCAGTACGAGATAAAACTGTATAAAGTTTTATTATTTATAACTCTATTTATTTTCAGTTGTTTTTATCATCGTAAACACTTGACTGGTTCCAGGACGCTCCTCTTGGTAACTGGGACGGCCATCATAAGGGAGAGAAGCTCTGCCACATTCCTTCCCCTCTCTATGGACTCATTCTGCCCGTCACCATGGTGTCCTCAGGTAACTGATCCTCAACGAGGACACAGACAGTTTTGTTGTGATCATGAAAAATATATTTGCAAAGAGACTTAACATGAACTCTTATTCCATTTTGTCCCCAGAGCCGAAATCCCACCGTGACAAACCTCCTCTCCAGATGAGCAAATCCATCCAGAAGCCATCTCCGGCCCCCGTCACCAAACCGGGCCCTTCGTCACTGTCGGCCTCCGCTCCCAGAGTCGCCCTGATGCCGCCCGGCAAACACGTGCTCAGACCTCCCCCGCTGCCTCCATCCAAACCCTCCCTCAGGGCCCTGCCTCCTGCCCCTCTCCCGCCTCCCAAACCCCGCAGCCCGACGTCGCCGACCACCAATGGCGTGCACGGCCCGCCTTCTCCGCTGAGGTCTCCCGACAGCAGCGACGCCGCCGCAGAGGAGGGCGAGGAGGCGGGACCGGAGGGCAAGCTGGAGGTGGGGTCGATGGTCGAAGTGAACGACCCGCCGCTTTTCGGGGTTATCCGCTGGATCGGACAGATCGGCGGGATTTTGGAGCCGGTGGCAGGAATTGAGCTGGTGAGGTGGAAGTTTCTGCTTCACTTTTAATAAGTGGTTTTCATGCATTGATATGTGTAAATACAACAAAAACTTGGTTATTCTACTCTCACTGGGCAAAACAAACGACCTCCCCGCTGTGTGTGTCAGGACCAGGAGCTGTCTGCAGGAACAGACGGCAGTTACCTCGGCGAGCGCCACTTCCGCTGCCCGGCCAACAAGGGGCTGTTCGTCAAGCTTCGCAACTGCAGACGGGACTCCCGGTTTCCCGCCCCTGAGATGCCTGTCAATCAAGTGGAGCGATGCAACTCCATAGGTAGGAAAGTCACCGTGTAAGTGTGTATTTTAAACATACCGTGTGTAGTTTCTATCATGACACACCATCTCCTGTGCGGCTCCCAGCCTTTGCAGACTGGGGCAGCGAGCGCGTGGAGGAGCACACCCCCCCATCGGACGGGGACGAGGCCGCGGACCTCTACCAGGGCTGGAAGAAAGGCATCCAGGGCCACCTCAACTCATGCTACCTGGACGCTACGCTCTTCAGGTACAACTCTGAGACACTTTTCTCTTTTATGGTTTTAGTAATTGCAGATATTTTATTTCTTATTTTATTTTGCTATAATTGTATTTTCTTACTGTTTTTCCATGATCGATTCATTCAGTGTTGTATTTAATTCATTCTTAACTTAATTCCTGTGCATTCGTCTGCTCATCTTCTCTCCATTTTTGTCTTGTTTTTTTGTCTCGTCAGTCATCAGTAAAGCACTTTAAAGTTAATTTGATTACTTTAAAAGGTGCTAAATAGATACAGCTTGACTGATTGTTTCATATAGATAGTCTGTTTCTCTCTGCAGTCTGTTCTCCTGCTGCAGTTCAGCAGACTGGGTGTTATTTTGGCCGTCTGACTCTGAAAACGACCAGGACTCCCGTCAGGCTCAGGACCTGCTGCGCTGTGAGATAGTCAACCCTCTGAGAAGGTGTGTAAACGTGTGTAAATGTCTGTTTTTTTTTTTACTACCTCGAGTAACTACAGTGCAATTTTTGTACAGGTGATACAGCACTGGGCCTTAGTCGGAAAATATTACGGAGCTACGGGAGGAGGGTAATATTGTGAGAGAAAAACTCAGACGATAAAGAAACTTGATTATTCTCTAAGAATACAAAGACATATATTTGCCAGAAAAAAAACTCTGAAATCCTCTGAGGTAAAAGTCACAAATATACAAGACATGTATTCATTATATTGGTATTTATTCATGAAAGAGGACATCGGAGACAACAATCTGAAGGATTTATCTGATAACGTATCGACTGTACAACAGGTCTGACATGAGGATAAAGTACAATGCATCAATGCTCATGAAATAACACAGAGCAATACACAACCGTACTATGCAATTAAACGTAACTTTAAAAGTCATTCCAGTTGTAAGAAATCGGACAAAATGAATAACATGACAGACTCTGCAGCACCTGGATCAGAGGGCACGGTGATTATGTTTAATATTCAAATGTTTCTGAAGGTACGGCTACGTGTGTGCCAGTAAGACCATGGCCCTGAGACGACTGCTGGATGCTGTGAACAGCGACACGGGCTTCACCAACCAGGAGAAAGGTACGCGGTCCTCACTCCTCCATTAGGTGTGTGTATATGTGTGTGTGATCAGACTGAGGAATGCTGTCATGCTGCTGCTGCTGTTCTGTCCGGCAGATCCCGAAGAGTTCCTCAACAAGCTTTTCCAGCTCCTCCAAGTCGAGCCGCTCCTCAAGATCAGGTGACATCACTGCCGCTGACACACACACAGACACACACACCCTGCTTCATTATCACACAGGCGAGTTGAAAAGGCTCTCACGCCTTGTATTGTACTTGTGATGTGAGAAGGTAATGAGGTCGTGATCACACTCGCAGGTCCTTTTCTTTTAGTCCATCACAGAAAAGTGACCCTGTATTTCACTTCTTTATTTATTTGGTGAGGGACAGTGCACATTAATAAAAGCATTGCTGTAAATGCGCCAGAGTTAGCCGAGATGTGCACAGAGAAACTTCAGCGCATGAAGGTGAAAAAGTGTTAAATCCTGCACACAAACATTCTGCCCCAGTGGCAAAAAGCAAAACACACATTACTGACACCGATCTCTCCCTTCCTTTGTCTCCTCGTACGTTCAGATCGATGACTCGGCAGCCTCAGGAGGGCCACCTCTACCAGCTCTTCCCCCCTACACTCCCTCCCTCTCCCTGCTCGCCCTTACCCCTCTCCCCGGTTGGCTCCCCCATCCCTCTCACCTTGCCATTGCCCAGTCGGATGCGGGTCGCCAGTGTCCAGGCGCTGCTGGAGTCCTCCTTCCTCCACGCCGGCCTCAAGTTTGTCGAGGTCACAGAAAATACGTTGTCACGTGTTGAGTTCGAGGCCCCTGAAACACCTCTTAACAATGACATCACGTGTGTTTGATCGCCCCAACAGGCCCCCTCCTGCCTCCTGCTGCTCATGCCTCGGTTTGGGAAGGACTTCAAAATGTTTGACGCCATCTTGCCCACCCTCAGCCTGGACATCACAGACCTGCTGGACGACAGTGAGGACATTTTTGAGCAACATTTCAGTCGTATAAGATCTCGCTACATTCACATGAGTTGTTGTTGTTGTTGTTGTAGCTCTGAGACAGTGCAGTATCTGTCAGGCGGTAGCTGAGTGGGAGTGTCTCCAGTGTCACGACGACCCCGACATCACTCCCGGTCATCTCAAACAGTACTGCCAGACATGCAACACACAGGTAGCCGCCTCCTCCTTTGCACCTGACATCTATTTGTGCTTCGTGTACTGACGCTCGTCTCCTCGGTCCATTGTCAGGTCCACAGTCACAGGAAGCGGGCGTCCCACGGTCCCGTGAACATCGCCGTCCCCGGGGGCCCGTGGTCCGGCCCTCTGCTCTGCACCCGCCAGCGGATGTCCCTCTTCGCCGTGACGTGCATCGAGACCAGCCACTACGTGAGCTTCGTCAAGCACGGACCCTGCCCCGCCGACTGGCTGTTTTTCGACAGCATGGCGGACCGGGAAGGTGAGTTTATCTTCCCTGAGAGGCGTTCAGGTAAACGGCGTGAAAACACGGTTAAAACGCTCCCCGTATCTCTCACCCAGGTGGAGAGAACGGCTTCAACATCCCCCACGTGAAGGCGTGTCCGGAGGTGGGCCGCTACCTCAGCCTGTCGGAGGACGAGCTGAGCAGAGTCGACTCCGCCTCCTTGCGGGAGTCCGTTCGCCGCCTGCTCTGTGACTCCTACATGTGTCTGTACCACAGCCCCGAGCTCAGCCTGTACAAGTGACGCACACACACTGTAAAACTGATGCAAACATGTTGTCCTCAGGTTGATCTAACTGTTAGATGACGTCCAAAATATTAGCTTATGAGTGATGATAATCAGAGCCCCTGTTACTCTATCCAGTATAACATGAAGCGTTTCATTACAACTCTTAGGTTGTTCACACTTTGCAGTAAAACACATTTCTAGCCTCAGTTTGTGTCTCCAATTTTCTGAAAATTAAACGACCAGTGACTCTAGTTTCTAATCCGAACAATGATAATATGATTTGTACAACATAAACTGAACTTCAGGAATTTTACTGTCACTTACATTTGCTTATAATGATGTTACTTTGTATTATTTTGTGTTTTCAAACATGACAACGTGTCGTACAAAAAGAGAAAGGAGGTATGTGATTCCTGGCTTGCTGGATAGGAAACAGTTGTAACTTAAGAAGCGGGATACAAATGAATTAAAATGAAGCAGCAGATGGAATATTTGTTCTCCCAGATGTGTAGTCTACAATGAAACAATCTGCTACTTTTACATGAGAGCAGCCGTATGATCCAATGTGCCTGATGAACACACAGCCGGTAGTTTGTTGGTGGTTTGAACACTCGTCATGAGCATGATGGTCGATTACTCGTGTCGGGTGGCTGTACTGGTCTTTAGAGTTTACCTGTGCCTTAATAACGCTCAGAACCACTGTGCCTGTAACATGTGACACACTTTACACTTTCAATTTTGCACTGCTTCGTTTACATGTCAGTATGTGTGTGTATATAATAGCATTGCCTTAAACTGACTGTGAAGATTGCACTCGGATGTTTGAACTTTTGTATTGCTTACGGGTTGTTTGATACAATGCAGCTGCAAATAAATGCTTTGATACTACTCTTCTAGTTTGTTTTTATTTCTCTTTTATTTTATTAAAATGTCTCTACGCTCCTGCAGATGTCACTCAAGAGCTAGATATAAGGTACGCTGTCGTGCATCCAAAATCTCCCCAAAGGAAACGCAATATATAAATAAGAAATAAAGATATAAATATACGAGATTTAGGAAAACATTTAACAGATTATTTCGTCTTCAAGAATCTGTAATTAAGCATTTTTTTATGACAGTTACAGTTTTATTAGGAGAAACGAATACATAATGTATAAAATGTACCCATTAAATTATGTAAAGCTTAAGATTTCTATGGAGAAATATGCATCATGGAGGGCTAAATAATAATACATTAAGTTAGTATTATTACTGAACCCCTGCTGAGAGAAAACATTTATTTTAAATATTTATCAATATTATTCTTGTACACAATATATCTTTGTACCAAATGTTTACTACGTGAATGACTTTAAGGAGAACGCAAACTGTTCTCCTGAAGTGCCAGTAGAGGGCGGAAGTTACGCAATATCCGGATCGCCGGCATAGCGACGTCATCATTACGTGCCCGAGAAACAGCGAGCGACGAAGGGGTCCGACTTACTTCAACATTTTTTGCTAATTACATCACAAAATAACGATATATATAAACCAGATATTAGTCGTGTGGATGTTTATATAAGGTAAGATGAATTTTAAGTGACGACGTGTCGGTTTATTTTAGACGTAACGTCATGTTTGACGTTTAACGTCCTAATTTACATCATGTTGGTTCGCTTTAAATTTCAGATTTTCTTTTAACAGTCCAGATTGCAGGTGCAAAGCAATTGCAGCATATTCCTAAATAGCTGTCCTAAAGGTATTCGATTATTTCTTAATTTTAACCAAATCTGCTGTAAAAACTGGGCCTGTTTCTAGTTCAAGGCTCGTGGTGACCAGTATTTGAGTATTTATGCCACTGGCACGAGACAGAACAACCATATATGTTACTGTTAATCTGTTTTTTAAGTTTTCATCCACGCTGGTAGAGAGCCGGACAAAAAGGAAAGACTGCCCATCTGATTTCTGTTGTTTGTGTCTCTTTGTGTAGCTGCTTTCTGTCTCTCGAGGTCCAGCAGTGAAGCCGGTTGCGATGGCGTCTCCAGGGGGACAAGGAGGAGGAGGAGCTCTGTCGATGAGAGGAGGCAGCGGAGCCCGGAGGATGAAGTGGGCTTTGGAGCTGAGCTTGGGCAACGCCAGGTAAACACAAACAGTGCATCCTACCCGCAAACCTGAAGAGCCACATAAAAGCTGTGGGGAACTCACCGTCACAGTCGTTCATTGGGGCAGTGAAAGCTAAACTCTCTGTGTTGCAGGAGTCGTGCGGACCGACAGGGCGGTCAGGGAGACGTCGTTTACCCGATCGGCTTCTCCGAGAAACCCGTCCCCGACACCAGCATCCAGGAGACGGACAAGAACCTGGTGGAGAAGGTAAAGCAGGGAGGAGAACCGTTACTTCCTTCCTCTTCTTCGGATATAATTAAGTTCCATTTGTGTTATGCATGATCAAATGAATAAAACCCAAAATGCTGAGCGTGTCCCTCCTGACTCTTGTCTTAACAGCGTTGTTGGGACGTGGCTCTCGGGCCCCTGAAGCAGATCCCGATGAACCTGTTCATCATGTACATGTCGGGCAACACCATCTCCATCTTCCCCATCATGATGGTGTGCATGATGGCCTGGAGGCCCATCCAGGCGCTCATGTCCATGTCTGCCAGTGAGTATCCGGCATTCACAGATTCAGTTTCACGTCGAGCTCATTGCTGCGTAAACTGAGTATTCCTTCGCTCTTCGTTCTCAGCCTTCAAGCTGCTGGAGAGCTCCAGTCAGCAGTGGCTCCAGGGCCTCGTTTACCTGGTCGGTAACCTGCTGGGCTCGGCGTTGGCCATCTACAAGTGTCAGTCGATGGGGCTGCTCCCGACGCACTCTTCTGATTGGCTGGCTTTCATAGGACCGCCCCAGGTAAACGCACACTAATTGCAGAGCGCCGCAGAGACCGTCTGTACGCGTTTTATTTTACCACCATGGTTCTTTAATTTTGATCCACTAAATTTTTGGTTTCAACCCATAAATCCTGGCTGCTGTTCACGTTTCGGCCAGTAGAGGGGAGCATATGCCCTTTATTTTGTCTTTATTTAACCAGGCAAGAGATTAGGAACACACTTTATTTACAATGGTAACCTGGCAAAATGAAAGCTATTTTTCCATCATAAACAATTTAATAAATGATGTCCACTTGATGTCTTTCTTTCCCGTATTTCTTTCTAGTAACACCGGCTCGATTTAACCGTTTTTTCTCTCCCTCCCGACAGAGGATGGAGATCATGGGCGGAGGGATGGTGTTGTGAAGAGGACGCGGTGTGAAAATACCAGATTCAAATTATTTACAGATGTTTATTTTCTGCACATTCTTCACAACCGGTTCATTCTCCACAGTTACGAGACTCTCTGCCACACACACGTTTTATTTGCCTTTTTTTTTTGACAGAAATTTTAAATGTTTCATTCTTTCGTTTTTCCATCTTTGTTGCTCCCCGTTCATATTTTAATAAAGGTTTAAAAGCCAGCAGATGGTCAAGTTTAACTACTGTATTTTTCTTTTTTAAGTTTCTTATTTTACAGATTACAGAACCAAGTTTTTGGGGGTTAATGTCATTAAAACAGAACTTTATAACGACTAAAACTGGACGTACAGATGTCTTATTAGGTTTTTATTCCAATAGAGTATTATTCACTTCTTCTTTTTCTATTCTTTTCTTTCTAAATTTGTAGTGAAACTCATGATTTACGCACGCTAGCCATCGACACTTACTAACCTGTTTTAATGTATGAGTCTGTTTAATTTATACTTGCATGCTACATGAAAACGTTCTATTGAATAAATAATCCTTACTGACTAACGTGTGTTCAACTGTGTCGGTAAATATGTTGGATGGAAAAAGAATAACGTTATATAACTTATCTAACTTAAGTGTTTTCTCTCCAGAGACGTGAGGACAAAGCTTTGATAATGAATGTTTCAGTCACAACCACAGAAAACAAGGTTTGATCTCAAGATAACCTGATTAAACAACTCAAGAACGGCCGTGCAGTATGACAATAAATATAAGACGTGGGTATAAGATCTGGTGGTTTTAGGCAGATCAGTTTGATGGTAATAATGCATAATTAATACAATAATTTACAATAGTTTTGCATCAATGTGAGGAAGTGTTATGAGTCACTTTTGTATATTTTTTCCAGTATTTAATTAGCGTTTTACCTCATTTTATCGTTAAACTGTCAATTTTTAAGGAAAAAGCATAAATCATGACATAGATTGATAGGAAAATATGGAATTTAATCAACCAATTTTATCCCCATTTTTTGTATTTTATCCACATTTTATCTGCTAATTTTGGCATTAATGAAAGAGCACTACGCATCTGTAATGTGTTTCCTGAGAAGAAATGAGATAATTAGGCAATGATGTGACCTGGAGATTAAAAAGTTTCCTACAAAAGAGAAAAGTGTGGCAACTTGCATTGACAACTTTCCTTCTTTTTTTCTACTGTCTAATTGTTTCTGTTCGTCTTTGTGTGCGTGTTGCTGTTTTTTTGGTATCAGCAGCAACACCCTGGGAGAACAAAGGCAGTCAGGTAGGGCAGAGGGAGAACTTGAGAGGCCAGTAGCAGAGAGAGAGCAGAGCTTTTGTTACGTCATGCACGAGTAATGTGAGGACATTTACACAGACTGTCCCAACACCCCGAAACACGACAGATGAGATCAAAGCTCTGCAATTTAAAGGCAATCTGTCAATTCTATGTCAACTTTTTTTTAATGCGGAAGAATGTTTAATATCCTTAATATCCAACCTAAATCTCTGCGGTCAGTCCTGTATAATGTCTGCTTTAACTTTAAGGGAAGCTAACTGATCATGTTTTAAGGGCTTTTTTTGGTGTCATTTAATTTTGCCTAAAGTAGTGTGGGAATAAAGGCATATATATATATATATAATAAAATACTAACTATGAGAAAGATTTTGACTCAAACTTTTGACCTAATATCATGTCATAATTCTGTATTATTATCGTAATTATACTTAGAATATCACATTGGTGGAATGTAACTAAGTACATTTACTCAAGTACCACAATTAAGTCATTTTACTTTACTCCGGTATTTCCATTCTATGCTACTTTATACTTCTTCTCCACTACATTTTAGAGGCAAATATCTTACTTTTATTTCTTTACTCCACTACATTCATTTGACATCTTTAGTTACTTTGCAGATTAAGACGATTAACTGTAAGGATAAACTACCCTGCAATGGGACTATATAAAATAACTGAAACCAGTCCAACATTAATGGGTCACCATCCAGTAGCCTAACATAAATAATATATATTTTAAAGGAATGAGCCATATTTTACTTTAAGTATGACGTTTAATTTTAAATGCAGGACTTTTTGCATGAAACAGATTATTTTTACACAGTCTCATTGATCATTTTGCTTTGATTTATTGATTAGAATTCATGACGAAGTAGCCTTAAGTTGTACATTTTGTTTTTAATTCAACATTTAATCGATTGAGCTTCCATATTTCCCCCAAAGTCTTGGAATACCGAAAGTTTTTTTGTTTAGTTTAATAGTTCCAGGGACCGGTTTGTCTTGCCGGACTGACGCAGCCCCTGAGTGTTTGTGGGCCGGGCCGTGAAGGGGCGGATCAGGTGAGAGGAGAGAACAAGAGAGAAGGATGGGCACTATTTCTTCACAGCGTTTGTTTGGTTTCAGCATGTGGAGGACATACAGCAGAAAAGTTTTTTAACTGAAACTAACGTGTGTTTTGTTGTTGTTTTTTTAGTTTAGTTTTAATTTAGCTTAGCTAACGTCGTCTGTTTGGTTTTTTTTGCCCGTTTTCTGGCCGGAGTACTCCTCAACCGTTGGTTTTGAACGTTAGATAACGTTCTATTTTTAAATCGGCCAGCGCGAGACACTTCTAACAAGTAAGCAAGCTGTCAGCTGACAAAATAAAAAGTTTCTTCAAAGTAAAAGTCAGTGTAAATATATATTTTTTAATTTTTTAAATAACGTTATTTATAGACCCCCCCCTCCCGTCGTCGCCATGGAGAGAAACGGCCGTCACTCGGCAACGCAGGAGTATCCACATCCGTTCATCCACGAGGTGAAGCTGACCCGCGCGCAGAGGATCAGGGTAACCACAGCTTTTTAATTTAACAGCGACGGAAGTCAAAAAGTCTGCAACCTGAAACTATTTGGGCTCTGAACTACTTAATACCATTTTAATAATGCGCTTTAAAATTCCTCCAGGAGTCAGTGAGATAGGGGTGCTATATATATTTGGATATATCTGTCTAAACTCCGTAAGTTCCTCTTTGTGATCATTTTTTTTTGCATGCTTTATTTCTGTTTACCTTTTCTCTCTCTATCTCCATTGAAGAGAACAAAAGAGTCTTTCACATTTCCCTATCCGAATGTGTTGCTCAAGCAAAACAGCCAAGTCATAAATGAGTCGGGCCTAGACAGGCATGACGGATAATAATAACATACCACAGAGTAACTCTACTCTTTGACACACAGTAGGGCGGTGACACATGGCTGACATGAGTAACATGTTGTTTCTGAGAGTATTTTTTCATTTAAAACCTCTATTATGTATATTATCTTTTTATTTAAATAACTTTTCTTCTTCTTCTGGTCCCTAGGGCATCATCCTGGGCAGTGTCCTCTTCCCCCTCCGCATCCTCATGGCGGTCCTCTGCTTCCTCCTCATGTGGCCCGTCGCCCGGCTCCGAATGGCCGGCCTCTCCGAGGAGCATCGCTCTCGGCCCGTGGAGGGCTGGAGGCGCTGGCTCCTCCACCCGATCATGCTGTGGCTGAGCCGGCTGACCTTCTTCTTCCTGGGTTTCACGTGGGTGAGGGTCAAAGGCCGCCGGGCCGACCTGAAGGAGGCGCCGGTGCTGGTGGTGGCACCTCACAGCAGCTTCTTGGACATGGTGGTTCTGATGCCGACCCAGCTGCCGACGGTGGTGTCCCGGTCGGAGAACACCAGCCTGCCGGTCATAGGAGGTGAGGACACACACACATTGTTGTTGTTATGGCTTAGTTGCATCATCTAACCAGTGCAGGCACAACAGGAACCTAAAAAACACAACATTTAATCAGATAGTTGTTTGTCATTAGCCTCTGTAATGTGAGCATTTGGTGCTTTTCTCTGTTTATTTGTCACCTCGGACTCTGGGAACTTGTAACACATTTTATTGACAAAATAAATAACTAATTACAGAAACCTCACTCCCAGTCTGGTTTCATCTTCTTAATCTGTTATTATTATTATTATTATTATTATTATTATTATTATTATTATTATTATAAGAAGACATTTTATATCTTTTTTTACCTGCTGTTTTAAGGGCCTGAAGTCTCAAGCATGCAGGTGTAAGTGACAGCGATTGTTTGACATATGTTCAAAGTGGTCAGTGACACACACAGTGTGTTTGACTGTCCCATCACAAAAAAACACTGTTTTTTTGTTTTAAATATCATATAATTTGTTTTATCAAATGTCAAGATTTCATACATATATTTATTCATTTATTTTAAGAGGTTCCTGTAAACTTAAAATCATCAAAACTGTACTGTCTTCCGTTATATTCCAGGTAAGAGACGTTGAAATAGAGTGAATATAATAAATACATTTGCTTTAACGCGTAAGAAATAGTTAGAAATGACAGCACTGTTTGTAGCTATGCAGCTTTCAGAAGGGCCTGGGGGACATGATTTTTTACTGAATTCATTTTTAACAGACACAGTGCAATATGCTCATCGGTGGGAAACAGTTTTAGGCAAACAACCAAGAATAATATTTGGAAAAGACGTGCGAGGAATATGAAAGTATGCGAGGAAGTCCAAAAGATAAACAAGTGACTCACTGTTTTGGCTTCTGATCGGCCAACTCCTCCCTTCTGGTTCTGGTTCTTGTGTAACAGTTGTGTGTGTGTGTGTGTGTGTGTGTTTCCAGCTCTACTGGAGTTCAACCAATCCGTGCTGGTGAGCAGGACGGACCCGGAGTCGAGGAGGAAGGCGGTGGCGCAGCTCACAGAGAGGATGACCTCCGGCGGCTACTGGCCTCAGGTGAGATATCGATACAGCGTTGCTTTATGGCAATTACCACCGAACCATCCAACCGCACGTTGCAGCAATTAGGGGAACGCCAGAAAGCACAACAACAGCGCAGACCTCATTGGAACCGTTAAGTCTTTGCTTGTGGTCCGTATTGCTGAGTCGGCAGAAGCAAACAGCTGATCAAGATTAGATGGGATGCTTGATTTAGTAAAGAGGGGCAACAAAACGCTTTATCTGCCTCCCGTGAATGCACTTGTTATTGCATCCTTTTTAGGCTGAAGATACATCGTCAGTAGAAGGTTGTTTCTGTGATGCCTGCCTCTAACGGGTCATAAATGTAACTAACGTCACATTTCTGAATCCTCGTCTAGATGCTGATGTTTCCCGAGGGAACCACAACCAACGGCACCGTGCTCATCAAATTCAAACCCGGTGAGTATTAGCAGTGAGTCTCTTCTGGTTCATCTTGAGGCTCCATTCGGAACACATTCCACGAGTGTGTTCGTACAGTTGGTGCAGGAATGAGGGAGAAAAGGGCGCAGCAGCAGCAGCAGCAGCAGCAGCTGGTTGTTTTGCTGCTCTTGTCTCATTCCAGTCTTTCCAGTCTCATTTTAATTTTTTTGTTTTGCCTTGTCATCAGGTGCCTTCCTCGCCGGACTCCCGGTCCAACCGGTTCTGTTGCGCTACCCCAACAAGCTGGTGAGTGAAGTAGTTGATCTGCTAGTTTTGTAACAACAGACGATAACTGAGAGGACAGATTTGATTCTCGCTGCTTGTTTCCTGCTAAAGATTGCATCACAACTTTATCCAGAGTAAGGAAACACTTAACCGAACTCTAGCAAGGTCTCTTTTAAAGTTGATTTAAAGACATTTATATTGACGTTAGAGAACATCTTTATTCACTGATTCACAAAAATCTATCAAAACTCTCCACAAATTTTGCTAATTACCACAATTTATTAATTAATCCCACATTTATATTAATTTATGGAGATGAATTAAGCAATTAATTCATTGTGTCAGTGCATCAAATTCATTCCAGCCGCCCCCTGCTGAAGGCTCTGGTCCTCTTGTGGTTGATGGGTATAAATAGAGACTCTTAACTTTAGCTAGAGACATTTTGACAACACTGGCTTTGAAGAAAGGGATTATAGTTTGTTAAAGGTAATTAACAAGGGTTGTATTGTTGTCAATATGCTGAGATACTTGAAGCAGGTGCACTTAATTCTATTGAAGCTATGAATTCTATCTCATGCTTACAAATGAAATAAAATGTAATATTTTATCTCTCGACGACCGCTGGCTGTGTACTAAAGTACCAAAGTGCTTTACTGAGACAGTTAAAATATGATTAAATAATAAAAAAGAAAGTAAATAACTAACGGACTAAATTTAAAGAAAATGTATATTTATGTTTATAATTAAGGAGACTCGGTTATTAATATTCTAGTGACGAGATGATTAAAAACACAACATGAATAGAAGTTAAATTTGTGTGATTGTGTTTACTGCATGCTTCAAGGTTGACGTCTTTTAAGATCTTAATCTAAAACAGAAGTGACAACAAATCACAAACTATGTCACTGGAACAAAAGTCAAAGTGTCCTTCTTGTTATCTATTTAAGTTGAGCAACCTGCATTGCTGTGATGGTGCACAAACAGGCGATGCTTTGTTCTGTAACTGTTTGCTTTCACACACTGATCTCGTACTCATTTATCCATTCCTCACTTCACACCCCTCTGGGTTTTCACCCGTTTTCAAACTTGGCCTTTGTTTTGATCTCAACTACACGCCTGTGAAGACTTGTGTTTTACAGGATTAGTTCCTGCGACACAAAGTGTCACACACACGCGCACACACACACACACACAGACTCACAAGGTGAAAACAATACCAGCGTTGCAATCACTACTAGTCAAAGACAACCTCCACACCCAGTCTGCTGCCGAGGAGTCATTTTATTATTTTTTTCTTCTGCTCGCACCTCGTTGTGTCCACTGATCACAATCTTTTTATGACTCTTCCTCAGGATACTGTTCGCTGGACATACAAAGGCACAAGCTGGTGAGTTCAACTGTCGGCTCCAATCGAACTGTCATGGTGAACGTGGATGTGTTTGGTTTAAAAAAAATAAAAAACACACACACTAGATTTCTACATAGTGCATACTACATAGTGCAACACCACAAACTGCAGCCTTCAAAATGGCCGTGACGTTAAATCAACACCACTTTTAAGTATTATTACCTCCATAAGGGAGGATTTATGTCTGGACACTTTAATTACACTGCATACGTTTTCACTTAGTGTACCTACAGTAGTTAAACTGTAAACTGGGTGTGTACTGGAAGTACATTTCTGGCCACATTAGTCATGTTGCATTAAGAAGAAGCTGGTGTTATGACAATACATTTACCTCCTCACCATTTATAATGTCGTAGCTTTTCCTCTTGAGTGTTTTTTACTTAAATTGTATATTTTTGTCTCTTAGGACTGAGGCACTGTGGCTCACAGCTTCTCAGTTCTACACCAACATAACTATCGAGGTAAGACCGTTTACCTGATCTGATTAGAGACTGTTGCGAATGTGTGAACATCAAAATCCAACGTGTGTTTTTCTGCTCATGTGACTAAAACATTTTCTTTCTTATGCTGCAGTTCCTTCCAGTTTACAGCCCCTCGCAGGAGGAGAAGAATGACCCCAACCTGTACGCAGACAATGTGCAGAAACTCATGGCCAAGTAAGTGGCAGATGTTTTATGATTTATGTCACTATATCGGGTACAATTGGTGATATTTTAAGAGAAGATGAGGCTTTATTGATCCCCAGAGGGGACATTCAGGTGTTGCAGCAGCACAAGGGCAGAATAAGTACAAATCAATAGAAATATAACTAGAAGTATATAAAATGGAAACAATACAAGAGCCATTAAACTTGGCAAGCAGTACACATATAGTACCCACAACAAGGGTCTCACTTTCAGGGATTCAGGGGTCTATTTACCTAACCAACATACAGTAGAGACTACACACCATGTGTCTAATGCTGCACCTCTCTGCTGTGCTGCAGGGCCCTTGATCTCCCGTCTACAGATTATGTGATGGAGGGCCGAGTTCCCGTCAATAAGCTGGGCGGTCTCTCTCTCCCACTGGAGTCTCCGGCCAGGAAAACACTCAAGCTGCTGCGCAGAAACGGGTGAGACAAGATCTGCGTTCGTCTCCTGGTCTCAGCCCTATGAAATTCTTTCTTTTTGATCTCACCATCTTCATCTCTTTCTCGCTCTCTCTCAGTCTGGGAGCGCATGAAGTGGAAGCGGCACTGGACAGAATGATTGACAGGTGTCAGTCAGGAGCTCAGGGGTCAAAAGTCAGCGGAGAGGAGCTCTCCTCTATCCTCGGGCTGACGGATACACAGACGGACGTCGCCATCTGTGACTTTTATTCCAAGGTAGAAGCACTGATATTAAGCAGGTTCAGCACTGAGAGTCCATGTTGTTGGATGTTACCAGGTCATACGGCGCTCTGGTTCAAAGCCAGCTACCAGTAACTGCAGAAGATGTACAGATGTCTATCATCCAAAACATAGTTAAATGGTATTCAGATTGGTTGTTTGAATGCCTACTAAGTATAATACCTTCTATATAGTATAGATAGTTAAATACCAGTTCATAAATATAAGCATAAACTGTGTCCAAAAACATGTAATAATACGTGTTTGCTTGTTGTTTTTCAGGATGAGATTGTGGACCTCAGGCCGATCTATTTGACTGTTGCCGCTCTGTCAGGATGCGTCAGCTTCAAGTCACTGCTTCACACAGCTTTCACTGTGAGTCCTATCGTTTCCTTTACAGCATATGTTTCTGACCGGGGATGAAGAATACTTTTTCAGTTAACATTTTCCCTCTTCTAAATGTCGTTGTTATCCAGCTGTTTGACGCAGAGGACCGAGGCAGTCTGAGTGCAGAGGAGCTGTCGGACCTCATGGGGGCACTGCTGGATTTCCCTCAGCGCCACACTGCCGAGCTTTACACGCAGGCCTCCGATGGAGGCCGGCTCACTGAAGGTGAGTCTCTCTCAGCAATGAGTGAAGTGTTATAATAGTAGAACAACAGGCAGCTCAGACGTTGCATTATGAAGCAAAAAGACAACAGGCACTTGACTGAACATGTGCGTTTCATCATGTGACATTCAAAACATTCAAATCCTCATTTAAATCCGCTTCGTGTCCCACAGAAAATCTGCTGCGAGTGCTGACGACCCACCCGACCTATCAGAGAGTGGCGAGCGAGTACATGCAGCCCGAGGAGGCGGGCTCCCAGCCGGCCAATGGGAAGGCTGTGAACAACAACGGAAGCATGCACAACAGCAACAATGGATCCCTCCACCACAACAAAAAGCTTGAATAAGGAGGAAAATTTGGATTCCGCTTTTTACAGGACGTTAAGTCAGGTTTGTTTTATGTCCTCTGCATCCTCGAGTGCAGCAACGGGACAATAATCGTCGACAAAAGATTGTATTTTAAAATGTGTGTGTGTGTGTTTATAGATGTATTTTAAAGTCTATATTACTGTACAGTCAAACATGCCAACATTAGAAAACCAAAGAATGACTACAGTGGCTCTGAGGTGTGACTGTGCGTCTTGTATATTTGAAGACTTGAAGTTTACGAGTGCACATTTTTTTTTTTTAACGGCCCAAAATAAATCGTGCTCATGTGTTGTTCCAGATGCTGTTAAAAGACTCCATTACCTTGCATAACATGTCTTATTTATATAATTCCCTCTTTTGTATGCTTTTTTTTTTTTTTTTTTTTTTAATGGGACAATGGCAAAAAGAAACACTGTAAATCAAAAAGTTTATTTTCCGTAAATGAATTCTTACATTTTGTGTGTGAATATTGTTTATACTAAAGAATAAATTAAACTGTGAATTGTTTTCAGGAGGTTTAGCTGTGGAGTTATTTTCCCCCCACAAACACACACATCTCTACATACTTTCTGTATCTATTCTCCAAAACACGTTTAATCTTCCTCCCACCTCTTAGCGTGTTTTTCCTTTTCTCGCCTTTCCCTCCTTACCCAGCAGTCGGTTGTGCGTGTTTGTTTTGCACAAGATAAAGTCTTTATACTTTGTGGGAGGCCGTGTTCGTCTCCAGCGAGAGAAACGCAGGCTGCGGCCTCTGATGGTGTCGCCTTTGAGTGCTTCTTGTCGGGCTGATGCATCTGAGGTCTTTCCATCTTTTGCCTTCACAGCGCTTCTTGTCGAGGGTTTCACATACGCTGCCAACTTTTCCTCTTCGCGTCTCTCTGTGTCGGCCTCCGCTCTGCTCTTCCACCTTCCTCTTTTCGTTGGACTTAAGCTGATCGTCTCCGTCTCGTTCACCCTCGTCTCCCTCTCTTCATTCCGTGTCTTTTCATCGGACTCTGGCGTTCGGCCTCCTCTCCATTTGTTCTTTCATCTTCCACACCTGCTGGGTTAGATGGTTGCTGTGTCGCCTCTGTCCTTTTTGACACATTTTGTGACCTCAAACTGTAGAAGTCACATGTTTCGGTTTGTGGTTGGCTCTCTGGACTCAGAGCGAGGTTTAAACTTGTCTCAATCTCACGTCTTTTCACAGAAGGAGACTCCGTTGTCTCGACCAGTGGTTCGTCCCCTGATGACTCCTTTGTTGAGTCTTTTGTCGAATGAGTATCTGTCTGAACTTCTGGGCTCTGCGGAGAAGATTCAGTTAGAGACACCTTGTCCTCGTTGGTCTTAGCGTCGTTGGCTTCCTCCCTACCCTCCTCTTTATCCCTCCTGTTTCTGCTTCTTTTCATCGGACTTGAAGCCAATTCATCGTCGTCCTCAATTTCTACCTTTGACGAGGACTTTCTCTTCCCCTCCGAGTGTTTGATATTCTCTCTGCCTTTACCGGCAGGAGGAGGAATCAGCTGCTCTCTTTCCTCAGTTGTCGTGCTCCTGGTTGTTCTTGCAAAACTGGATATTTCAATTTGAACCTCTTGTGGGATTTTGGTCGACGGGGTGTTTTCTGCCCCCGTGTCACAGCTCACCTCGAGGTCATTGGCGTCCCGCTGCTCCGCTCCCTCAACCTTGAGTTTCTGCATCTCTTCAGCAACTTTTTGATGACGTTCCCTCTCTCCAATCTCTGAAAACTGCCCAGCTGTATTTGCCGTTTTTGATGCCTGGCCCCGCTTTTCAAAATGACTCTCCTCTCTTTCAAATAACTGCCTTCCTCGTCGCCGCGTTGCTGATTTACCGACCTCTTTTCTCTCCGTCTCACCCCGCTGTCCCGCCCTGAGTTCAGAGGATGCAGGGTCTGTGTTAGATGGCCCAGGAATTGCTGCAGGACAAGAGTTTGGGGTAATGTTTTCACATGGGCCACATGGTTCCGAAGGCTCACTTATCAGAGGCGGAGGGTGAGGACGTGTCTTCAAAGCCGGAACTCTCTGAGCTGAAGGGCCGGCTGACAAATCAGCTCTGAAACTGGGAGCAGGATCCTTGACTGCAGCATTGCGAGGGTCCTTGTAGGGCCATGAAACACTTGAGGTTGAGGAGGACTCGGAGGCAGGAGGATCTCCAGGTAGAGGTCCTTCCCGAAGCTTTTGGGAAGCCTGAGCTGACCGTGTGTCCCCGTGATTTAAGAAGCACATTACAGCTTCTTCTGACAATGTGGCTGCAGGTGTCTCTACCAATGCATTGTCTCTTGCCTCCAAAGCTGAATTTGGACCAGTGTCTGGGGAGATATTGGCATGCAGCTGCAGAGATGAAGTAATGTAGTCCATGAAGAGGGAGACATCGAAGTTGAGAGGAGACGTGGCAGCGACGAGGTTATCGGTTGGTTCTTCTAGAAGGCGTGAAGGGAGGAGGGGAGAACAGCAGGTCCAGCAGCCTTCCTCTGGGCCCGTGTTCCTCAGAGGTGTTTTTTGTCCGTCCTGGTTTGGTCTTGTGTCCGACTGTGAGCCTGGAGGATCCCAAACGGGCGCTTGGGCGTTTCGGAGGGGTGCCGTTTCCTTGACACGTGAATTCGCCGTAGATGTTTCTTCGGTGACAGGAGTCACGCTGTCGGAGTCGGCAGAGTCCAGGTTAACTAACTGCTTCTGGACCACATCCATAATCTGTTGAGCAAGAGGTTGACCTTTTTCTTGCATGTCAAATGTTACATATTATTATGCCATATTATGATTCTGTGCTTGAAACTTTACAGTATTTTCCTTCCTAACACTCGGTAACTAATTGCAGCCTCAAAACTGTTATTTGTTGTCATGTTACCTCCAGCAGACGTTCCCTCATTGAAAGAAGGTCGAGGACCAGGTGCTCTGTATTCAGTGTCGACTCCACCTGAGAGAAAGAGATGAAATTAAAGTGGTACTACAGCGATCTAGTATTGCACTTCTATAAATTTAGGGGGCTTGTGGGGGACAGATGTGAAAAAGAATGATCAAAGCCGGAGCAGCGGAAGCCGAGATATCCCGACTTTTACTCTCCAGAATAAGCCACACTCTGTATCCTACATTTCCCATAATGCAACTCGATAGCGTCCCATGTCTTTCAAACTCTGCAGCCACAGTCGTACATTTTAGCCATAAAAGTAGCAATACCACTACAGTAATACTCATGTTACAAGTAAAAAAATCCTGCTTTCAGAAGTTTACTCAAGTAAAAGCACCAAATGGTTCAAATAAAACCCTGGTTAGCTTGTTCTGCTCATAGAACTGCTCGTAGGTCGACCTCCTGCTCACAAAAAGCAAAGAAACACAACGTTTACAGCACGTAGTGTCATGTTTTATCACCTCTCGCTCTTGTAAAAGAAGGTCAATGGGCTCTGGGTCTGAAGAACGGAGGGAATCCAGATACTTTGTGTTCAGTGTTGAGTCCACCTGAGAGACGGATGAGCACAGATTTAGACGCTCAGACTATGAAATCTTTCCCTTAGTGTTTGCACACGCTGATCGGCATTATCATCCAACATCATTCAATACGGTGGAACAAAAAGATATCAATTCTTCATTTTTGCTTAAAACTAAATGGTCTTTTTGACCTGAAAGCTCCTCTGTTGCTCTCTGAGTTGATGAGAATAAGTTCATGAAATGCTTAAAGCTGCCACAAAACTAATGCTGACATAGCAGTTTATATATTCCATTAATGCCATCGATCACTTGCCTTTCTGACAAAGTCCTCATCGCTGCACAGTTCATTCAGATACATCAGAAATGAGCCGTTCCCTATCTCCAGTTTCTCCTCCTCGCCTTCCTTGTTTGCGTTCTCTTTGGCGTGACAAAACATTTAAATCATGAACATTTAATATCAGATGAAAGATCATTTTTAATTGTTACCCCAACACAAATATATTTCTAAAAGTAATCGTTGTAGATTTTACATCACAACATATGGTGGGGCACCTTGGGACATTCGGTGTCTATGATCGTCATGAGTTCCTCAAAGGCGCGTTCTTCGTCCAGAGAGGGACGAGATCCAGCAGAAACCTCGTGCTTCGATCCTTTGAGTGCATTCTTTTTCTGCTCTTCTTCTGCGAGGAAAGACACTGAACGAACTTTAAAAGGGGGAGAGAGAAATGGGACTAAATCCAACCACTTTAATTTCTCTAAGAGTGACTCAAGCTACTTTGCTCTAAACTAGACTTACTGTCTACAGCCGTATTTGCAGCCAGTGGTGGAAGATGTATTCATAATCCTTTTACATAAGTAAAGGTACTAATACAACAATGTCAAAATACTCCGACTTCTGCATTCACAATCTTACTTCAGTAAAAGTACAAAGGTGAAAGTAATACTCCTGGCAAGACACATTAGGCTGATAATGCAAATTGGCGCAAAACGAAAGCTGCATCTGAGGCGGATTGGTTTTGCAGGTATTTGGTCATAAAACAAAGTATTGGACATGTTGTCCAGACGCTACATACACTGCGTCATGGTTTCACTAGAGGAGAAAGGATTCATCGTCTGGTGACCATGAATGTACAAAATGTCGTGGCAGTCCATCAAATAGAGTTGAGATATATATATATATGAATATATATATATATATATATATATTATACATATATGTATAAATATATAATACATATGTATAAATATATAATACATCTTGAAAATGTGCCTTTTGGGAAGCGCTACAAGGCATTTTATGACGTACTGTATTATGAAACCCCATTTCCCAGGATGCCTAGCGCTCCGAATTCTAAACCGGATATCCGCTCTGCTATCCGAGGAGAAACTCCGCCGCACGTGGAATCCAGAAGAGAAAAAACGTGTTACCTGCAAATTTTACGTTTTTTCTCGATATAATACAACTTCTTTGATATATTTTGAAGCTTTAAAACACGCTAACGTCGAGATGTTCCTGCAGTTTTACGAAAACGAGGGCGGAGACAGAGTCTACACTCTGAAGGTAACGTTGTGTTTACATCCTTCGTATCTAAATCTAGTCTGTTTAAATATATTTTACTTATTTAGTAAAAAAAGGTTATTTTAGATGTAAAGCTTGTGACAAGTGACTTGCGCCTTCCTTTTAATATATTTAGTAAAAAGTAAAGATTACTATGGTCTGCAATTAAAAGTTACCTAAATAATGTAATCAATACATTCTTATAAACTGTAATTGTTTGCATATCTAACTACTAATCACAAGTTGCCGGAAACCACGTTTGTCTTGCAACTCATACAATCCGTAAAACGTATTACATTTTCCTCTTCCTGGTGATTTATTGTTGCTTTTTAAAATTTATCCTCAACTTTTTGCTCATTTTTTGACGCTGAAATAAAGACCACCATAGCTAAATTCACAAAAGCTGTTAATTTCTTCTTTATCAAACACAAAGGTTACCATGTGTAACACCACACACAGGAAATAATAAAAGTGAAAATATTCATAAACACACATTTATTTTACAATAAATATAAACAGTGTGTTCTAAATGTAAGCTTAACGTTGGATATAACTTTCCATAGTGGTTCTGCTATAGACAGCTGTGCTTATGAAATGCAGATTAACTTATTGTAGTTATTACATAACAAGATATATGACGATTGAATTCATCTGCAAAAAAAACAAACAGCATCTTTTGGTTTTGGCCCTAAACAAGTAACTTGAAGGGTATAATTGTGAATTAGTGACAGGCATATGTTGTTACTTTATATATACGTTATACAGACTTAACTATTAATCAGGTAATCATGAAAATGATTGATACATTAAATGCTAATGAAAAGTAATAATTAGTTGCAGACCTGGGACGTTCATTCATAGCTATTTTTAAAATGATGAATTAAACACCATTTTATTTCCTAATTTAACACCACAAAGAGTTGATTCATTCAGATGTGTTGCTCTATTGTTGCATTTATTTAATTATCTTTCCCGTCTTGGTCCCCAACAGAAGATTTGTCCCGCTGGGCAGCCCACCAGCTCGGCCCACCCGGCTCGCTTCTCCCCGGACGACAAGTTCTCCCGACACCGCGTGACGGTGAAGAAACGCTTCGGCCTTCTGCTCACCCAGCAGCCCAGACCGATTCTGTGAGAGGTGGAAGGACGGGGGTCAGACCGAGAGGTGGAGCGCTGCAGGCGAAGATGGGACTGTAAAGTAAAACAAAACAACAACAAAAAACACAATTTATGAACATTCAGCATCGATTTGTCCTCCGTTTCATCCAAATTTAGCGGGCTGTACTTGTGTTGGATATCAGTCAGTGATGTCAAGGATCTTCTTTTTATGTACCGTACTTTGTTGACATTCATTTAAGGATGATGTCATAATTTTGTTTTCATATGGAATAAATGTTTGGCTGATGGTTTTCTGTCGGTCGTCTCTGTGTGTTTAAAGTCCAGACGTGATAATTTAAAGAATGAAACCTGAATAGATTCGTGGAGAAACATCACGAATGCAGATGCTTCAATACAAAGCACGAGGGCTCAATTAATGGGATTTCTTTTAGAAGAATGGTGTTATTTGTATGTTTTAGTCTCCTTATTGCACTTATAAATTCCAAAACGTGAAGGTTAAACATCTGTTACTACAAAACACATAACCCATAAAGTAGACTTGCTTCTTCCTGAATTAAACTACTAATGCACCTCACATCTGAGAGGTAATCTGCAGCCAGAGCTTTAAAACAATGAATAAATTATTCTAATCTTATAAACCAGTGTTGGTTAAGAGCCTGCAACTGAAAGGCATATTTACACAATACATATTCAATAGTACATGTACACATTTACTTGGATCGGTTGATGAGACACTCAGTGGTGGAAGCAGTCTCAATACAATTATGTAAAAAAATTAAATAAATAAAACTACAGGAGTATTAGTAAAGAAAATAAACATTGCTGTCTAGTGTAATACTTTCCTCTGAAATGTAGTGGAGTAGAAGTATTATGTAGCATAACATGGAAATACTAAAGTACCTCAAAATTGTATTCAAGTACACTAAATAATGGATACCAGTTGTGACACTCCCTATTTTATATTATGAATCTACTTTAACTTCATATTTATATACATATTGGTATTTCTGTTAAAACTATAATAATGGTTATGTATTTAAAGATTTAAGTGATACAATTACAGCATTGAAAAGCGTTTTAAACAGCTCTACTGAGTCGTTTATTTGTCATCATTTTTGGACTACAGCACCATCGTTTTTTCGTCACCACGCATGCGCTAGCTGTAGGAACTACGGCAAGCGAAATAGGACTAGCCAGGCGCCCTTCGCATGTTGTTTTTTTTTGTTGGATACAAAAAAGAAAAGTGCCGATAAAACCTGGGAGAGGAGCCAAAATCTTCCCAGATGTAACTGAAAAACAGCCGTATGGTGGAGGCCTTTCTTTACGGGAAACTTGAGCCAGGTAAGCAATTTTACGTGACTAACGTGTCGAGATTTTCAGTGAGCGTTTTTGTCGCTGTCAGTGAAAAATAGCTTGATGGACCGCGGAGTTTTATCAGCGGCATGGCTAGCATCTAGCTAATGTTAGCTTCGGCTAGCTGGACGGACTGAAGCGAAGCGACCAGCTCACGCGACACAAGCCCCGGGTATCGCCTCCTCAAGTGATGGCCCGGTGCCTGACACTCTTCATTGCATGACGGGTAATTTAAACAAAACAAAACACAACTTTGTCAGTACCAGGCTAATTCAACTGCGCGCCTTTCTGAATTTAGCCGGTTTCGATTTCCTTTTTTGTTGACTGAACCGCAGCTTTCTAGTCGGATGCCGCATTCCGAGCTCGAGCCAAAACATCTGCATGATTTCTCCTTTTATATAATATTATAAACGCCTAGTTCTCTGTGTCTGTATTAATAATATCGGGAAGTGTTCACTGAACTGGTTCAAGCCAGAATTATTATAGCTCGCTTAATTGGCTTACAGTGCACGTGAGGATCACCATCAACCGGGCATTCTTTAAGTTGACTAATTAGAGGATGTTTATCCTCATTAATAAAGGTGTGTTTGTGGCTAAATACATATTGATTAATGCAACTGCATTAACGCGAGTGGACAGAAGCTGCTAGGTAAGGAAGCAGGATTACACTATCTCCTTATTTTACCCCCTTTATTCTTTGTTATTCTTAAAAATTGCGACCATATTTTGGGGGAGTACTCCTGGTGTTTTGATGCAGTACTTTAAATTAATGTGTGGAGTAGAATAACATGGAAATACTAAAGTACAAGTACCTCAAAATTGTATTCAAGTACACTAAATAATGGCTTTGTAACTATGCTGAAGATTGGATTCCTAATGTTCTGAAAATTGTAACTCTTAATATTCCTGCTTAGACCAGCTGTGGACAGAAAGAGGAAACTCAACATGTTGTCCTGACCACATCTGTTGTAATAGCACATAATGACATGGGAACAAATGTCTGCAGTAACCCAAAAAACTCCTCTCTGGTCTCCTTGCTTGGCCCATTGAGTCCTATGGGGAGAGGCCTGATTGCCCACAGGTGTGAACGTGTTTGTCTAATGGCTAATAACCTCTCCGGGGGGGTGTTTCCCAGCCTCCTTTTTGCACAATGCATGCTGGGATAGGCCGTGTTGGATAAACGCTGGAAGTTGGAAGTTGTTAGATGAACCAGCCAAATGAGTCTCTCTTTATCTCCCCCCTTCTTCCCTCCCCTCTGTCCATCTCTGGATGTGGACAGAGGGGGCGAGGCAGCGGTAGAAAGTGCGCTGTGTCTCTGCATGCAGAGTGAGAGGAAACAGCCAGCAGCTACTGGCACAACCGGTTAGAACCGCTCTCCTTTAATAATTAAATTATGAACCGAGCTAAGACAACAGTTCAGCCATATGCACTTGTCCTGTCCTCCTCCTCCATACATGTCAAATATTTCTAAGAGTTAGTTTAGCTCTGTTAATTTACTACAAACGTCCCATTTAAGGACATACAGGAAATGTGAAACAAATCCGCGTAGAGACGATTAAATCAATTCCCTGAACATGACGCCTACTTACATTTTAAGGTACATTTAGAACAGTTGTTTTTTGGCTGTGTGAACTAATTTCTGTTTTGTTTTTCTCTCTCTCATCTTTTCTCCATTTCCCTGCGATGACACTTCTTGGGTGCCGTCATTAGAAAGACATTTAGAGAGAAAGACTGCTGTCCGGTCCATGGTCCGAGACGTAGCGCATGAAGCAAAGACGCACTATTTTAAGTGAAAATACACTACGTAATCACACGTTTATAGTGGAGGAATTTGTACTTGTGTGTCTACTTTTCAACCGGGATCAGAAAGACTCTCGTGGGCCTGTTGCCGACTTTTCCTTCACATGCCTGCTGGCAGCCGACCGCTTTGCTTCAATGGAGAATCACAGTTGCAAGAGGAGGAATTGTAGAGGCCGCCGGTACCTCAGCACCACCTGGGAGATAGCCTAGCTCAGCTCAGCACCACTAGCTACTCCGTGTCCCCCCCCCCCCCCCCCACACACACACACACACACAACACACCTCCCTTTTACTCCCCCCAAAAAAGTGAGTTTGCAATGGCATCGGTGCGCTTCACGGTGACGCCCACCAAGGCGGAGGACCTCCCGGGGCTGTCCGACATGTCGCCCGACATCAGTTCGCGCTCCGGCGCCCGTGTGCGCTTCGGCTCCAGGGAGAGCGTCAACCGGAGCGACCCGCTCAGCGAGGCCACGGCGGGGGAGGCCGAGACGCCGGACCACAGCAACGCGGACCAAGGTGACGAACACACACACACATACATCCACGTAGACATTCAAGGGACAAGATTTTACATGTTTTCATTGAAATTAAAGGCGTGTTCTACCTGTTTCTGGGTGACTGAGTGAAACGATAAATATAAAGCAGATCACACACCTCGCCTGCATACCAACCTGTGACTGTGGAATCTAATCCCATGATTTAGGTTGCTACAGACGGTGAATACACTCTTTAATCCATACGTTTAGAGGCGTGCCAGCCACTCCTCCATACTGACACACTGGCCTCAGAGGAAAAAGAGTATGTAGTGTCGCAATGGCAGTTGCAAAGTGGCGCCAAAAACAGCAACACGATTCTATCTTTTGGATTTGTTTTTCGATCTTGTCGGTCCTATTTCCATCAAAATACAACCATGAGGCTGTATTGATGGATGTCTGTACATGTTGCAAATAGAAACGGCTAATTGCTAACTCGGCACGCCTTTAATGGAGCCACAGTGGGAGAAACTCACTGGATTCATAGACGTTCTCATTGGATTTCTGTGTTTTTCCCTCAGATTTCAGACATCAGCCTCTTGCTGCCGTCTGTAGCTGCTTGTGTCTGAGTTTGTTTTTTAACTTACTTCCACGTCCATGTCCCTTTTTTAAGTGTAAACACATTTTTGACACATACAGCACAGAGTGTCATTCATCAGCTACAGTGTTAACTCCCACACACGTCCTCTGTAAAATGAGTTAGACACCGTCACAGTACAGTGGACACGCTGCCTCGCTCATGTTTTTCTGATCAGTCGAGTGTGTTCTCATGTCTTTATTCTGGTCTGTTGGCTGTGTAAAGGTAGTCGAGGGAGCACAAGCTAATTCAACACAACCCACTGACGGCTCTGTGTCCAAAATGTCACTTTTAGTGAAAGTAAAAAGATGTTTTTGACGTCTGTCTGGGTCATAAAGCTCTTTATTTGAGAGCTTGACTTCAGGGCTGCACGGCCAAACAAGCAGCGGTTTCGGCTTAATGCTACTCAGCAGACGTTGAGGACTCTAAGAGGACACAGTGTAGGTTTCACTGCTGCTCTCAGCCCACCTGCAGAGCAGCTACACGGTGGTTCACTTCTGTCCTTAATGGTAGCTGACAGCAGAGACCTGTTCACATGGATTCCTCAGGTGCAGCTAGAGAGACAGAATCCAGATGAGTAGATGGATGAAAGTGGGAACTAGTTTTCCTCAGACATCTATGAGTGTGCCTGCAGTAATTCACTCTCCAAAAGTGTTTAAGAGTGGCCGCACGGGCTCAACAAAAGGGGTGTTAGGGTTCTGACCGTGGAGAGAAGTAACTGATCCACTTAAGAGGTGGCGTGGTAGTGAGGAGGCCCCACGTCGTTCAATGAGCAGCCATAAATAGACATCGAGCCGGTTAATCCCATTGAGCTTCGATCAAGACATCCGTGATGCTGCGGCTGTTTGTAGGGAGAAGGGAAGGAAAGGAAATGAAGAGGAAAGGAGGCAGAAGGAGTGGAGAGTTATTTTCAGAGAAGGTCAGATGCTCTGTGATCCTCGGTTGTGTTTTTTTTAAATTTTTGACACCAATTAAGTCGGCTGTTTGAATTTGATGTGGTCACAGCATGCGGTCCACATCTGGCCGCTGTGGCTTTCTGCTTCACTGAGCACACAGACACACACACACACACACACACACACAGCTGCGTTCCCCTGTTTAAAGCGTGTTTGTGTTTGTTTTTTTCTGCTCGAGTGACTCAAAGGCGTCTTTGGAAAGTTTTTGTTTTTATCAAATTAGGACTGCAACAAATTATTATTTTCTTTATCAATCACATCTGTTAATTGGGTTATTAATTAACAATTAATTGCAGCCGTGTGTCAAATCATCAAAATTCTCCCAGCCGTCAGTGCATCAGCAGTATTACGTGTTATATTAAGTGTTGTTGTGATCCTGTTGTGTGCTGAAGACGTCGGTGTTATCAGTCTGAGCACTCACAAAATATTTATGTCCATAAACTGTCGCCCGTGAGGATCAACAGGTCACGTGACCAGCATCACAGGACCAGATCACACGACTGTGAGCATCTGTATTTACCCAGAATGCCTTTTGTTTTTTATTAGTAAAGAATTGATACGACAAGGGTTAAACATGTTGTCAATGATCAACATCATGAGCAAAAAAAGCCCAAATATCTTGTTGGTTAATCTTCTCCTACCACCACGCCTGCATGAATACTAACGAGTAGTTTTCACTGGTGTGGAGTCAGTTTCACACTCGCTATCTTCGGCCAAATGAAGCGCTGTGAACAGGAGGGGAAGTCACCGCCCACCAGCCAAATGCTGTTTAAAAGAAAAATAAATCTCTTTACATATTAAGTTTTCCTCGGCGTGTAACTGAGACACTGTGCCGCCGTACGGCAGCTTAATAACGGTTTGTTTTTCTTTCAGGTTCATCGGGTTCGTTGTCAGTTAAATCAATTTCCCAATCTGTTTATGATGTTGACTTACTTCTTCTTCACGTATTTCTGTAACGAACTGACCCATGCTCGTGTCACATGTCGGCGTCCGTCTTGTTGTATGTGACGCTGCGTTACGGCCGCTCGCTGCCCTCAGCGTGACTGCGGCGGAGCAGCCGAGGGAAGTGATGTTGCTGACTCAGGTGCTGCTGATGCAGCCGTCTGTGCTGACTGAGGCGGAACTGAACCGCCATCAAACCGTGTGTGTGTGAGAAACAGTCTGTCAGATGACCATATGAACTTTGAAACAGGCTTTGCTTTAGATGGCTAACGGTTATTTAATTATTGACTAATCGGATCAATTAATCACTAACGGCTGTCGCACTTTTCATGTAAACAGAAATCACAGAATGTTGGGTCATGACAGTCACGGAGCTTCATTGCGTGAATGATATATTGACAAAATATATTAAGAAGAACAACTTGAAGATAATGGAGTAAATCAATCCGAGTGAATACCTTCCAGAGTTTCACTTGTTGTAGTCCTAAAGTCCCCGTCTTTGTTGCTGCTCGACAAAGAAACACCGACTTTGAAAGTGTTTTTAATAAAAGTTTCTCTCTCTTTGTGTCTAGGTGATGGAAACTCAAAGATCTCCAGCGTGTACATCAACAACACTCACGGGGGGGATGACGACGACTTCTACGACAGGAACTTGGCCTTATTTGAGGTTCGAATTACCAAAAATCAACTAAATTAAATCTCCCCGCCCTCCGTCTTTATCTCTATTCCCTGTCCTCGCTCTTACTCTTCTTCTCTCCCTTCACGTCTCTACTCTTTCCCGTCCCAGGAGGAGATGGACACCCGGCCGAAGGTGTCGTCTCTGCTCAACCGTCTGGCCAACTACACCAACCTGACGCAGGGGGCCAAGGAGCACGAGGAGGCCGAGAGCATCGGCGAGAAGAAGAAAGCCAACAAGGTAGAACATTTAAAGGGATAGTTTCCGATCTTTTGAACGCGAGGTGCTCCATTGGAGCAACAGACAGCAGTGCGGGCACAGGAAGGCCAGGAAACAACAATGTCTAAATTAATATTACGTACGATGTTCAGCCTTTGACGCTCAATAATCAACATAACTTAATTTTTGTCCCGCTCCTCTGGTAGTCTCCTCAGATGGGGACGTTTATGGGCGTGTACCTGCCTTGCCTCCAGAACATCTTCGGCGTCATCCTGTTCCTGCGGTTGACCTGGGTGGTGGGGAGCGCTGGTGTGCTGCAGGGCCTCTGCATCGTCTTCATATGCTGCTGCTGTGTGAGTGTTTCAGTGTCCACACACATATGCATGACGAAGCAAAAACATATAAAACACTCTGAAGATCTGTGTCTTACTGTCTCTGCAGACGCTGTTGACCGCGATATCGATGAGTGCGATCGCCACTAACGGAGTCGTACCAGGTATTCTTCCGTCTTTGACTCCTCCCCTTCCGTTCTTTACAGACACGTGGAGTAAATGGCTCCGGTGTGCCGCGGTAATCTCTTAATCTGACTCTCGCATCAGATGGGTGAATGTTTTTTTTAAACATTTTTATGGACTTCAATCAGCAAAGTGACCTCTCCAGCCCTCTGAACCCCGGGAAAAATCTGCAAAAATACACCGTTTATCAGACGAAAACAGACTTTATTAACAGATTCTCAATTATTTCAACGGTCCTTGAACACATCATGTGTGACGAAGGCTTCCATCAGGAAAAGCAACCCAATCAAAGCTTAAAATCCTGATTTTTCATCAAATGCACTTTTATTCTTTAAGTCTCATTTGAAATTTTACTACAAATAAACAGTTTGCACAAAGCAGATCCTGTTAAACTTTGACTGATCTGCAGGCTGCTAAACACAGAGACAGGAGAGATTGTAAATAGTTCCATAGTTCAATTGTTTTTAACATTTGTGGACACTTGGGAAATTGTTGGAAATATAGATTCCATTGTTTTCCCATTTTTGTAGAATAAACTTGCATGTTTTTCTTCATGATTTCTGGCTTCTAACTGCGTTTTACTGCTCAAAGGACATGTTTGAGTTCTGTCCACTTCTAGCTATGATTGTGCCGTTTCCACAGAGGTGCAGGACTTTTATATTGCGGTGAAAAACGAGCCCACAGTGAGTAATATGTAACCGGAGTAATTAAAACTTCTTGGGCTTCACCGGGCTGGATGTTCATTTAGAAGTTTCCCGTTTTAGACTTCCTGCTCCTCTTCCAGCGATGAATCTGTTTTTCTAATGAGTGTTATTTCTGTTTGTCCCGTCTCTCCCTCTGTCCACCTCTCTCCTGTCTGTCTGTACACACAATTAAAAACAAACAGGATATTTGACTTTACCGCCAGACGAATATCCCAAATGTCAAAAGTAGTGCGTTATTCCCACCAGCATGTGACATTTACTCTGACTGAACGTAGAATGGAAACCTCTCGGTAACAGAGCAATCTAACATGTTTGGCATCAGACATTTCATACCTGAACAGCCTCTCATGCTTCCTCACCACCTCGTCTCCGATGGTAGTTACTGCTGAATGAATGTAGACGACTGTTCATTCCTTCACATTCATTCCTTTTCTGTTAACATTAATGTGATTGTCTGTCTAAAGTTCACCTTCTTTGTTGAAGGCCAGAGTTGCATTTGGGAAACCAAACACTGAGTTCTGAGTGGATTTGTAGTTTCTCTTACTTGTAGTATATTCCTTTGATTAATGTTGAAATACATGTCGTAAAGGATACGTAACTCTCTACTAAATAAAGCAAAACGACCTCGTCGAGGTCTTAAAAAGCATTAAACTTTATTTTTAAAATGTTTGCAGCGACCCTGAATAACAAAGTACTAAAACGTTGAATATATTTTGCCTGAATATAATAAATATAAACTGGCATAGTTTTGTTTAGTTAAACTCTGATCCGTCATTTGAGTCCGTTTTTAATACTTGGTGCTCCGGACACGTTTCTGTCTGTACCTGAAGAAACAAAAAGACAATCCAGCGTTTACTTCAGATGCAGTACTTGTAATTTGCAGATATAATTTGACCAAAGATCTGCTCTGTCTTCTTCCTCCGATGTGTCATTAGAACATTATGCTTATTTCTTCAAGCATAGGATGTGTCTCTCTCTCTCTCTCTCTCTCTCTCTCTCTCTCTCTCTCTCTCTCT